CATATTTATTTCAAGTCATATTTATTTCAAGTCATGTGCTCCATCCAATGCAGATCGTTGGCGCCATCCACATCTAGTGAAAAACAGTGTAACTGGATGAGTCATATAATGCAAACACTCATTGGTTATCTATTAAATTTGTGCTGACGCTAAAATAAATCAACAAGCAAGCAGGTGTTCTTCAAACTGTAAACTTAATTGTCTATGCCATGCTACTATGTCTGATTGAGAAAAAGATGTTGAAATGTCTGAAAGGTCAGACACAGGCCAGAGCGTATCGGGAGATGAAGACGGAGACCAACAAGACCTCCCTCATCCTTGGCCCTATGTCAAAGATTTTTTCAAAATAGTCGAAAAATTGAGCTTTCGGTTCATATAGTGGCATTTGGCTGTTTTTTTTAAAGGTTATTTTATACTTTTATACTTTAAATAGTTTTTGGAGCACATACTTTTTCTCCTTTGAGTAAAGAGGTCAAGTTGTTAAACTGCAGTATCTATACTTTTACTTAAGTAACAAATGTGTGTACTTTTGACACCACTGGCAGTTACTAACAGTGGCATAACACATTGTCCAACTACACGGCTTAACCACTGATTTTCGTTTTTTCAGGCCAAATTGATGTTTGATGGAGAGATGTTGAGCCTGGAAACTATTTTAAAGACCGAAACTGTCAAAGTCCCAAAGCCAATAAAGGTGATTGACCTCGACACAGGAGGCTGCGTATTTGTGATGGAGCATCTGGACATGAAAAGTCTCAATAAGTGAGAACTCTTTCCTTCTGTTTGCAGACTCTTGTAGGAGATTCACAAAGCCTTTTCTGTCACATTATATTACGAAGTACAGCTTCAGACCTTTGTCATTAATTTAGGATTGTCTGTTTCACAGATTACACAAAAATGTATTATTGGGGCATGAAACAGATTTGTTGTTTTTAAGAAATTTGCATCCAGCAACTTCTTGAATTACTGAAGTCATATTTGTGCATGTCTTTATCAGGCTTTCTATCTGATTGCTATTCTCTTATTTTTATGTATAAATAAATAAAAAACACCAAAATCTTTTTATGATTAATCTTTGTCAAATCTGTTGAGTAGGTTCTCTAAACAGCTAGGAGAGCAGCTGGCCGATCTACACCTTCACATCAAAAGACAAATGGAAAAACAAAATAAAGATCAGCAAACTGTAGGTAAATTATTTTAATTTTTATCTCAGTGCATGCAAACATCAGGGAACACACATTTATAAGCTTTTTTTTTTTTTTTTCAAACTACATTTGGGAACTGATTTATTTTTTTTATTCTATGTCACCCTATTTTAGGTAAAGGGGCTGGACAAACCGAGATGGCTCCTATTGAAAATTATGGCTTTGGAGTAAACACTTGCTGTGGATATTTAGCACAGGTTAAAATGCATATCTACATTAGTTATCTGGAAACATTCCAGTCACAGTTTGCACTGTTTTTTGTCATTTTAAAAAAAATGTATTTATTTTTTCTATGCCGCTCCAGAATAATGATTGGCAGAGCGACTGGGTGCAGTTTTACTCCCAGCAAAGGCTGCAGCATCAACTGAACTTGGTGGAGAAATCACACGGAGATCGAGAGGCCCGAGAACTGTGGGCAAAACTACAGGTATACCAACTAACAGAACATTTCCTTTAATCTCAGCTCTACAACTATGCAGTGCACAAACAGTGTCTGTTCTTCACAGCTGAAGATCCCAGAGTTTTTCACCAATGTGGACGTTTTCCCTGCCCTCCTTCATGGAGACTTATGGGGAGGCAACGTGGCAGAATATGCAAATGGCCCAGTCATCTTTGACCCAGCTTCCTTCTATGGCCACTCAGAGTTTGAGTTGGCTATTGCTGGGATGTTTGGTGGCTTCAATAGCTCCTTTTACTCTGCTTATCATGATAAGATTCCTAAAGCACCAGGATTTGCACAAAGAAACCAGCTTTACCAACTCTTTCATTACCTGAATCATTGGAACCACTTTGGTGGTGGCTACAGAGGTTCTTCGATAAGAATAATGAAGGATTTGCTCAAATAAAAATTCTCATAGATACTTATTAAAAAAAAAAGCTTTCATGTCTTAATGCAAAACCCAAAACATTGGGCAGAGAGTGAATGTTTCAGCTAATTCCCATCACAGGACTGATAAAGTATCCACTTACTTAATATAATTTCTCTGACACTGTGTTGAAAGTGGAGAAATACGTTACTGTAGATTAAATGATTTCAATACCCTGCTTCTCTTAATCCAGTGAATAAAACAGCAGCGAAATCAGTCAAGTAAAGGTTTATTTTGGGGCGTTTAACTAAGAAATCCTAACTAGTAGAATGAAAAGAAGTTTGACATCACACCAAGAAGCTGGTAAAATGGTCTTAATAACACTATTGCCATTTTAGGATCGTGCATGGACTTCCTACCCAATTCTACTTTAACCTTTAGTTAGTTTATGATTAACTTAGTTTGAGACCTTATCTCAGGTTCCCCCCTTGCTGTTAACACAACCAGACTTTAACCACATGATCATAAATAGGTAAAAACTCCGGTTCAAGTTAACCTATTTACCTACTGGGATTTATATAATTGGATATTTTTGTTTAGAGTGGCTTGGCAGAGGAGCAAATGCTGTTAATCTGCTCAATTTTCTTTTTTCTTTTTGTTTCCATTGTATTTGAACCCAAATAAATTATACTGGTGTGTAAATGTGGTTTGATTTCAATAGAACTCCAGTTACTGTCATTTTAGTAGATTGGATTTATGCATTCCTGTACTCTGAGAGTCTTACAGAAATCCCTGATTTGCACTGGTTGACAAACAGTCTGCTGTTAAACCAACAATAAATTATGCATTGATTCCAATTATGTTTCTTGACTATCTTCTTTCACTTAAAATAATGATTAAAATCCCACTTTCTGAATACCTGAGAATGTTACGATAGCTTTGACGTACAAAAAAAGACATTTAGTAAATGGTAAGTTCATATGAAGTTGCAGCAGTCATTAGCTGTTGCAAAAACTTGCACTCCAAACGTTTGTACAAGAATTCCGTAAAAGTAAAAAAAAAAAATCCACTGGACTTGGTTTCCGAGATTTGAAGATGTTTTGCTACCTCTCCAGGAAGCTTTCTCAATTCTAATGTCTGGATCCGCAGTGAGTTTGAGTCTTTATTTAGACAAGGCCTTGTAAACCTTTTACGGAATGACTATGACCTGGATGACTGAGAATCTTCATCAGCATTTTGTACAAGAACTGACTCGAATCGTTCATTTAAAAGAACTTGCTAATTTGGTTGGCTCCATCATGATCGTAGGCCCAATCCTAAACCGGCCCCAGAACACTAACCCTCCGTTTGTCCCAAACCACATATTGGGTAGGTTTAGTTGACCATTCAGCCCTTAAATAGGGAGTTTGCATTAAGTGTGCTACAGCCACACACAGGGCGTTACTGTGTTGTCTTAGCAATGACTGCTTTCTTTTTCCATTTGAGGGAAGAGGCCAACCCATTCTCTTATATAAACCCCTACCTGTAATCAAGGCACCTTCCAAAACTGCGAGTGTGACTTTATTGCAAGTAGGACTTGATAGTTTAGTGTTAGTAGTTAGGTAGCATTTTGGGATTCAGCTGTAACATCAGCATACATGGTTAGTGAACAGCATCAGTGGCCCAATCCCAAACCTACCCCTACGCAATAACAGAGGGTCCGCCAAGGGCTGTCCGAAACCATGTAATGGGTATGGCGAATGGACCGTTCAGCCAGTAAATAGCCGCTAAATCCCAAACCACCCCCTAACCGCTAACCTTAATTATCTGAGGGGGGAGTGGCAGCCTAGTGGTTAGGGCATAGAGCTTGGAATCATGAGGTTCTGGGCTTGAGCCCCACTGCCACTCTGGCTTTCTGAGCAAGACCTTTAACACTACACTGCTCCCTGTCGGTACCCCACTGCTCCTTAAGGGGATAGGTTAAACTCAGAGTTATATTTCTCCAATGTGAGATCATAAAGTTTCATTATTATTTTTAAATGTCACTTGCAATAAAGTCACACAGCCGTGGAAGGCTCTTGGATTGTATTAGGGGGGTATAAATATGAATGGGACGGCCTCTTCCCTTAATGAAAAGGGAAGCAGTCGTTTCTATGGCAACACAATACTGCAGCATGTGCGTGGCTGTGGTGCAGGTTAACATAATATCAAACATAAATGACAATGGAGAAATATTAAAATATGAAGAATTCTGCTATAAATATACTTTGGTCTCTTCCCCTGAAGTTAAAAAAAAAGGTGATCGACAATATTCCAAATGCGATGGTAAGTATAATTAAAAATAATCTCACTTTCCTGAGTGGCACAAAATAAAGATTAATGATATATGTTTTGTGGATAGACAAATTACTAATTTGGTTTTGAGAAAATTTTTAATTAAGGAAATGTATCCCGGAACCTCTAATCATATCTTTTATTCAGGAAACTTTAAGTAAGGTGAAATTCGATCCATTAGAACTGAATCCAGAAATATTCAATTCCACCAAAATTCAAAGAAATTCCCTTTAAAATTAGAAATGAATCCATCTATTGGTGCAAATTTATTGACAAAATTTTAAAATTTGAAACAGAGAAATGTTATTTCTGTAATTCTGCCGTGGAGAATTACAGAAAAATATATCAGAAAAATATATCAGAGCATATATTTTTCAGATGTGAGATTGTACAAAATTTTGGGGAAAAAAAAAATATTTGATTCTTTTCAAAGTCTTTGTTTGTCCCTTCTTTCTCATTGAAAGTTGTCAAATATGGTGTGTTATTAACAGGCAAAAAGTTGAATATCTAATAAAAAAAACTTTATTTTGGTTGATAAATTCTACATTCACAACTGTCGTTTAACTAAATCCTTACTTGGATGACATTGAAAAATAAGTTTCTTCTACTTTATAAATCTTTGAATAATATTAATACAACCCCTGCAATTAAACCTTTCTCTTTAATATCAGAATTTAAATTATTGCAAACCCCATCAATTCTGTAACTTCTCTTTTTGTTCTCAATTTTATTTGACTTTTTTCCCCCCTTTTTTGTTGTTATTGTTGTATTGTACTTCTCTGCATTTATATTTTCTGTATGCATTATTAAAGAGGTTTACTGTTTTATTTCATACCTTTAAATTTTTTTCCAAGTAAAGTTGATGTTTTTATCTCTTTATTTTTGTTTTGATATGAGAGCTTGTCTGCTCTATTTCTTGTTTGCTGCCTTCTTTTGAAATAAAAAAATATATAATACAAAAATAACATAAAACATTTGACATTTTCTTAAAAGTAAATCTATCCAGTCAAATTCAACTAATCCAAAGAGGACCTTCCATTTAGGGATCAATTACGTCTTTTTTCCTTTCCCTAAATTGTGATTTTAAGTCAGTGACGAAGATGTGGAAAATTAGCGGAACTTTATTTGAATGCGCGTGTTTCCTCCGCCACTAGTTCGCTGTTACACCCGCCGCTACTTAATGGCTAAACAGTCCACTCGCCCTACTCACTACAGGCTTTGGGATGACCCCTAATGTGGCGCACCCTCCGCGGGGACGCGCAAACGCTGCAGCTTTGTTACAATGACAGAAAATCAGATTTTTGGAAAAAGGAAAAAGGGTAAATGTTTGATGTCATGTCAATCTGCGCAACGACTGCTTTCCTTTTCTGCTGGGAGGAGGGCGTCCCTATCTTGTTTACACCATTATTTAACATAGACATTACCCCCCCTCCCCCAGGCCCAGCTTCAATCAAGGCGCGCGCCCTCCACAGCTACGAGTATGACTTCATTGGAGTAGCACTCCATACTTAAGGGTTAGTGCTTAGGGGATGGTTTGGGATTTTTTTGGGTAAACCTCAAAAGCGGAAGGTGCAGTTAAAGCGCCATTGAGAATCGTACTTGGTAGATATTAATTTAGTACAGTTAAATTTAGAGAATTATTACCAATATATTAAAATTTATACAGATGCATTAAAAAATAACAAGGAAAATAGGAATAGCTTTTGTAGTACCAGGATATCGGTATTTATATTCAATATAAAAATAGGAAAACAAATTTCAGATTTATTATTAGTACACACAGGGGACACTTGGTAATATTATTAGCTTTACAATGGGTAGAAGACATAAAACCATTAAAAACAGTAATTTGTTCAGATTCAAGCTCTGCATTATTAAGTTTAAAATATAATCAATCAGATAGTATGATGAACCTTCTATTAGAAATACATTATTCAGAATAAAAAATACGAGTTTGATAGTTGTATTTGTGTGGGTTCCAGCACATATTGGAATAGATGGAAACGAGAGGGCAGATAAAATGGCAAAGAGGGCAATTCAAAATCCTATTAAGTTTTACAGTTAAAACAAGTAAATCGGAGGGAAAGAGTATTATTATAGGAAAAACTGATGGAAAAATGGCAAAAAATGTGGGATGAAGAAAAAACAGGAAGATGGTTTTTATAAAATTCAGAAGATACTAGGAAAAAGAAAAAATGGAAGACGAAATAGAAAGGATGAGAGAGTAATAACAAGATTAAGATTTGGGCATACAGGACTTAATTATACACTTTTCAAAATTCAAAAGCATACTACTGGCAAATGTGATTTCTGTGGAAACAACAGAACATGTTATACTGGAATGTCATAAATGTGAAAACAAGAGAAGATATACGAGGAGAGAGTTTGAATGTATTAGGAAAAAGATTAATTTAATAGATATTTTGAGG